CGCTTATTGTAGTCGAGCTGGCGAGAAAGATAGGCCTAGGCTAGCTAGGCGCAGTCGGGCCGCCGGCCGGTAGCTCACCATTCGTTGTTGTTAGAGGCAATCAGTGCGACAAGCATCATAATGATTCACTGTCGGCGTATTTTACGAAGCCTCATGATTGTTTCTACATCAGACATGTGAAATTTAGCGAGATTCCTTTTGATTTTAGGTCTAGGCCTATTAACAAATGGTAGTAATGTTGATACGTTTTCCATCGCTGCCGCCATTCGTTCGAACTAAAAAAAAAAAAAACACAGCCCGCAAAAAGGTCAAAATATGGACATGACGCATGCGCAACAACAACTCGGAAGATTTCAGGAAAAAAACAGGCCTCGCGATGGTATGTTTTTGTTCCGAGATAACTCAGGGGACCCTTGTGAAATCTCGGAAAGTTTACAAGGATTTGGCTTTCACACTCATCCAAACCTGGTTACAACTTGTTACAAGTTGTTAATATTTGCAAAATAGCATCAGTGTGAAATGGGTACAAGATAAAATAGAGTGTTATAATACATTAACAGCTTTATACATGTATATTGGTCCAACACAAAGTAAATTATAAATTATGGGGTCTGGGAAGAATATTTTATTAAGTTTAATTGTTTTTATTGAGCTTGCAGATTCCATATAATATGTTCAAATGCGCAGTGCTGTACTCCTAAAAAAATAAAAATTCATGTTTTTTGGAGTTTAAAAGGAAGAGCATTTCTGCAAAATATCAATCACCAACTGTAACTGAAAAGTAGGGCCTACTGACAGTACTACTACTACTATTAGTATAATTACTACTACTGTATATTAAAATTGTTTTTAAAATACAAATCCTGCTAATAAACTATTGATTTTAGAATCTTTGGAAGCTGTTTTCTCAAAACCTACTTTGCTGATATCCAAAAGTGAAAACTGTTTTAAAGAAAAATTTTTGCAGAATCTAAAATGCCAGAGCCAGTCGCATATAATGCCTTGCCCACGGACGAAAACAAGTCACCAGACTCAGACTTAAAACCTAGACCTCTTGATTTGAATTGCCTCTAGAGTACATTTTACTTAATCATTGTATGAGCAAGTTTTTTTTTTTGTTTTTTTTTTCATTGCCTAGATGATGTGTATTATGATATTTTTTATTGTTGTTTGATAGGGCCAGATCGAACTGATGAAACAGGTTTACCGTCATATCCTGGCTTTGAAAGAGATGTTTTTAAGACCGTTAGCAACTACTTTCACAGCCTGTCTGAACCTTTGTTGACCTATAATCTCTATGATATCATCACTGGCTCCTTCTGTAAGTACTTTACCCATCTATAGTGAGTGAAGTATTTCCCATTTTCAAAATGTTTTCAATTGTTTTTGCATGTATTAATAGGTTTTGTTTATTTTTAATATGAATGTGTTTTAAATATAAAGCATGTCTTTCAATATTCAGAATTGTTTCAATGGGGATTTAAGGGTTGGGGGAGCAGCTGGCCTTGAGACCCCTTACATTTTTTTAATTATTTCAAAAAAGGTGGAGAGAATATGAAAATTATATTCAAATTTAAGTCTGAGGCTTCAGAGTGCCATTTCTGACCATCTAGAGGTGCCATAATTATACATTTTCTTTACCTGAGCCCCAGCCTGAGCACCAACCATGTTGGGGCTGAGGTGGTCTAGAACCACTATCTGTGGAAATCCCTCCCTGAGCCCCTTCTATCTCAAATTTCTGGATCCACCAACTGTGTTTATACAGTACTGGCTTTTATTAATGATTGTAATTACTAGATTAGCTTTATTACTAACTTTACAAGTCTTGTAGAATAATTCCTCTTAACATATTACATGGAAAAGGATTTTGAGGTATGTGTGGTCTTTATACATTATTTAGACATTTTATTCTCTAATGAGAAGCCTTTCAAATTTATTTATTTATTTATTTCGGTATAAAAACACTCACATCAATTCCAGAGGGCAGACCTTGTGCTTACAATCAAGAAAAAAAATAAAAAAACAGATTAAAAACCAAAAAAAGGAAAAGGACAATAAATAAATCAACTACAGTACCCATTTACAATTTACACACAAATTGGGACGAAGTACTGTAATGATAAAAAATGGGATAGGTCTAAGGTTACATGGAGTGACGTAACTAGGTGCGAAAGGGCAAGATTAATTGCCTGGCCCTTTGATGTGATAGGGGAATTCCCAAAGGTCTCATGAAATTCATCGTAAGAAATGCTTCTTTACCTCCTACTCTTAAAAGGCCTAGGTTAGTAGGCCCTAATAATGATAATCAGATTTGTAACTATTTTAATAGGGCATATTTAGTCTCAGCAGCTGTCATAAACAAATCAAGAAAATTGATGGCACATAAAATTAAACAATTGCAGAGGCAGTAGATAATTTGAAATAGAAGGGTCAGTGAGGGATTTTCACATGCAGAGGATGAAGACCACCTCAGCCCTACCAAGTTGGGACTGATAGGCAAGAAAATTTTTGATTATAGTACCTCTAGATGGCCGGAAATGGCACTCTCACTGAGAGTCTCAGACTTATGATATGAGTAGAGTGGTAGCCACTGTGTGTGCGCTGAACCGTGGTGATCTCTAGGTCCCCGGTTCAATTCCCATCACTGACTTTGCTTGTGTTTTAGCTGGAGGTCTGAAACACAAGTTACAATTTTGGATGTTTAAACCGTTGGTCCCTTGTGCATTCATGCACTTATTACACTCTTTGGAAAAGAGTAAGGGAATTGTCTCCCAGTGTACTGCCCGATTACCAGCAGAAGCACCCCACTGGAAATAAGTTTTCTTCTAGACTTGTGGGCTATACTTGATGTTTACACCGAAAAAATCCAAACCCAAATAAGAATATAATTTCCTTTTTTTCTCATTTTTTTTTTTAGAATTTAAAAAAAAATAGGGGGATCAGTCCGGCTGGGGCCTCGTCCAGCTGGGGCCCCATTGTTTACACCACTGAATTGAAATCAACATTGTAATCAATAATTACTACTCTAAAAACTGAATATTATTAAGGGGCTCGCTGGCCGTTTTTTCGTCAAAATTAAGTTGAAAATTATATTCAATTACAGTATTATTTTTAGGTCTTTTTATGAATAGGTCCCTAATAGCCCAGGGCCCCAGTGCTTTGCATTGGCTGCACTGCCCGTAGCTATGCCACTGGTCACATGCCCAAAGCTTTTGCAATTTTTGATGGGCCATATATTCTCACAATTTCAAGTTTCGCAAAATTTGATATTTGGGCTTTTGCTAAGCCAGTTTGCACAACTTGTAAACAAGATTTGATTGTCCAATGCTGCATAACACAAAGTTTCCCCTTGACTTGGAGTGGAGCTGTAGTTTCGGTGCTTCCAGTCCCGATTTGATGATTGTTTCTGCCTGACAAATGCCTAAAATTATAAATTTTGAATGCTGATTTCTCAAACATTGTTCTTTGAACAGCTGTATGTCTCAACTCCTGAAACGAAATGTTAGATTTTATTAAATTTTTTGTACCATTTTATAGCTCTCATTCAAATTAAAATTCAAATGACATTTATTCAATGATGGAAATAATAATAGAATACAGTACAGTACAATAAACCACCATCATTGGGATCATGACTAGAAGTAAAAAAACTTGTCTCGTCATGACACCCCCCCCCCCCCCCCTTCCAAAAAACAAAAAAAAAAGGGGAAAAAAATGAGGAAAAAAAATAAAGAAATATATAAATTTTAATGTTCGACCCTGTGTTAATAACTAAAAATCAATTTTTGCAACGAGTGACTGGTTTGGCTTGTCTTTGCCACAATTATACTTCAAAATCTGTCACTGCAGGGTTTTTTTTTTCTCATAACCAAAGAAATCTACTCTCTAAGCCTCATAAAGGGACTTTGTATAAAAGCATCATTCCCTTTGGTAAGTGGCAGATGTACTTGCTGTTGCATGTGAAGAAAAGTAAAAATAAAACCACTGTTATGTTAACAGTGTTTTTTTTATATAGTTTGGTAAAAATACATTTTTATGCTTTTAATGTCCAATTCAGAAGTTTTATTTTCTCGAATTTCTAATCGTTTAATGTAAATTCCACAGGTTCAACAAGTATTGCTTAATTCTAGTATATTATTTGGAGCACAAATTTTGTAAAGGGAGGTTTTATGTACTATGTTTAGTTTATTTTTTTGCAATCTAACCATGCCTATCATTTTTCGTTTGTTTTACTAACAGCATGAAGGTTTCACTTTTTTTTTGTCTTGTCATTTTGCAATTCTCAGTGATCTGTGATAGACGAGATCGAGGGCTCGGAGACTCCCCTTGTGAACTTACTACACCGCCAAGTGTGGTCACATCAACTCACCTTTCCACATTTGGTTCCGTAGAGAATCTCATGCTTGATTTAACAATGGGATGGACACCACTAACTAAGTTCAGTGGTCAGTCAACAGAAGGAATAAACCGTGTTGGGTGTGAAAGGCGGTCGATGCGACGCCAGTTGTCAAATGTGACACCAGTAGCAAGGAGGAAAAACACCAGCCAGTCACCTTCCGGTGGTAAAGGTAATGATTGTCACTCCTCTGGTACCATCTTCTGTCTAACATCTCAAAAAATAACTTCTTGCGAACAAAACGACCAAGATGAGGGCTGGGTACAACCATGTGATGGTGTTGAAGTAGATGTAGCGAAAACGTCCCTAAAGGAACTGACTTGCTGTCCAAGAAAACGTCCACAAAGTGCTACGGTTGAGTACGACCACATCCGTCAAAAATTGAATGATCCTGTCACTGATGTATCACCAAGTAATTGCGTCAATAGTTACGGTTTCCTGCCAATGTATGCTGATAATTCCATTTCTACAAAGCAAGTTTGTAAAAATCCAAAACGATACTCGTCAGATTCCAACCTGACGAGCAGTCGCTCAGTCTTCTGTTTCCAACGTGGCAGACTGGGGTTTGAAGATGTCCAAGCCACAAACACTAATAGTAGACAACCCCAAAGTGACCTGCATTATGCTTCTACCTCATGTCTAATTTCGTCAAATAAAGATCTATCACCAGATTCTGGAAAAGATTCATTTGAATTAAGTCGTAGCAGGAGTGGGTCGTTTAGAAATCGTAAAAAATTCAGCTCACTCACGAACATAGACATTAAATCTGATGATAACAAGCACAAAAAGGCACCCAGAAGTAATTTATCCTTTTCAAAACAATTTGGATCGGCATCGGAAATATTTCAAAAATTGTTTACAAAAAGGAAGGATAAAACTACTCTTCAAGATCAGGCATCTTGTGACTCTAAGATAAGACCTCAACAAGTAAATTTAGCCAAAAGTAATAAAGATTTTTCCAGTTTACCCAACAATAAAAGGCAAACAAGTCCACCGTATCCGTCCCCATTACGTGCAACTATATCGCAACCTGTACTAATCGGTAGGCGCAATGACTCTGGTTCCAGCATTGATTCCTTCTATTCCGCCAAAAGCAATTTGACTCGACAAAGTATCAGCTCCTCGAGTATGAAGTGGTCAACACCGGATGAAGAGCAGAACAGTTGCAAACATTCCACTAGCTCAACAAGTAAGATCACTACAGACTGCATGATGTGATCCTCATTTGCATATTCTTTGCACCTCATGTATATTCATGTATCTTAATGTCACATATCCTCTACCTTTATGCTTTTGCGTCTGTTCTATTTACACTGCTAATCATGTATTCAACTTCCATTTATTGCGTGTAAATGGTATCAAATGTGAGTATTTCTCATGCTAGTTTGATTGTTATTTCGATAATGTTTTTGATTGTTGTTTAGCATTTTGCTTATGATTCCTTGGACACTATTGTTGAAAAATAACAACAAAAGTGTTCAATTGAATTTCCAATATTTTTGCAGATTTATTAATTTATGTACAATTGATTGTTTTGTTATTCTACATTCTTAGAGTATGGTGCTGTTCTCTGTTGCACTTCAAATCAGTAAAGCCCAGTTTAAAGTAAAAATGGCTCTACAAATCTATGCAAATCATGAATATTCATGATTATGGTACAGATCTGCATCTCATTTTAGACAAATTATCACTGCACAAATAGTTTTTAGTAACTCTACAATACATACAAACACTACTTTGTATTGCTATTAAGTTGGTATCAATCTATGTATAATTCATAATTTTCAAATATTAAATTTTGTGTGTATGTTGAGTTTGGTAAAAATTCTGTCAATTTGTATTCAAAAATTGTAAGTTTTAATAAAAATTTATTGTTTTTTTCATAACTAATTTATGTTCTGTATTAATGTGGTGCTTTATACACACTTTGTTGAGTGTCTCCTACACGGATGTATAGTTCACTCATTGTTGCCAATATAAAAGTGATTTCGTATTTGTGTTTTTTTGCCTAACATTTTGGTAATCAAATTTGTATTGGTTTTTAATATTTAAATCTGTCAGGTAATATATGGAATTTAATACCTGTAGATCTATTTTCATTATATATTGATGGATATTTTCTTTAGCTTTATGTATCATGTGCCAATGTATATAATACACACAAAACATATGATAATAATTTTAGTTGACATTGTTGATTCTATGTTTATTTTATGTTATCCACTGTTATCTTTTGTAGGTTTGTGTTTGACAGATGATCAATCATACACTGTAGAGGGTCTGAAGATCTGCTGCCTTCTCCTGCCGCCACCGAACAGGAAAAAACTTTACCTACTCCTGAAACTCATGACAAAGATGGTGAATAATAAGGAGCTCAATTTGAGCCAACACATGTCTACCAAATCATTAGTAAGTTAAGTTATATTATTTGAACGCTTGAGTAAATGGCCGAGCGGTTTAAGCGGTTTAGTAGAAGTGGTTGGCGCATCTGTTTTGGCTTGGACTCCCAACCTTGAGGTCGGGGGTTCGAAACGCTCGCTGTGCAAGTCGCTCATGTCCTTGGGCAAGGCACTTTATTTACGGTTGTCTCTCTCAACCCAGGACTACAAGTGGGTACCTAGTAGGTTCAAACACAACCATGCGCTGATTACAACTGCAACATTATGGGGCATGAGTGTTGTTCCATGTGCTTGATCCAGGGACCGGGGGTAATAATGTAAAGCGCATAGAGGCTAGTCTACAATATGCGCTATATAAGTCGACAATTATTATCTACACCAGAACCATAGGCAAGCTTGTTGTTTGAACCAGTATCGATATATTATGGCATAATATATCGATACTGGTTCAAACAACAAGCTTGCCTATGGTTCTGGTGGTAGGACAAGTCTTCTCGGATGCCAACTATAAACTGTTGGCCCAGTGTACACAATTTGTCTTGTGCACTTTAAAGAACCCAGTACATCTTTCGAAAAGAATACTGTAGGGCATTACGCTGGTGTACTGGCTCTTACAGCCCCTGTTGTGGACAGACCAGAGATAGCTGGTACCAGTTTACCAGGCAGCTCAGACACAAAGAGACCCTTAGGGGAGCAGTAAGTTTTTGTATGAGCTAATTCACACATCAAGAGACTTTGGTATAAAGGGCTATATAAATCTAATTAATCTAAACTACATTTATATATTGTATATGGGCCTGTGTTTAAACTTTTTTTTTTTTTTTTTAAATAGACAAATTATACCTAGTCTATAAAAAAATATTGAGAAAATTATTATTTTCAGTAACAAATTCTGATATGTATACTATATACATATTGTTATTAATTATTTATCATTGTTGTTAATGTTATTATGTTTATTGTTATTTATTATTGTTGTTGATGTAATCATTACACAAGAGAAAAGTGTAGCATTTGTGGAATTGACGGTGAATTTTTTTTACGATCAGGTATTGCAAACGTTTTGGCGAAGTATCCTAAGTTGTGAGGTTGAGGTGGGACTGGATGAGATCCTTGCCATTAAGGTCGTGACCTATATGATGGAGCACTATGACCAGATAATGACAGTTTCACAGGAACTGAAGTCTGATGTCGATGAAAGAATTCTGTATTTACGGAGAACTCAGGTGAGCTTTGTCTACAGGGTGTGACAATGAAACTGGTAATGTTGGAGTGGAGTTTAATAGTGGATGTAGGGCCTATACTTACCTTCCAATCCCAAGGTCCTGTGCTCAGTGGCCCTTTTGGAGTGTTAATCAAGCTTAACAGAAAATTGGGAGAAAACTGTGCTTATGTTTTTACTCTGTCATCTTGTAGGACCTTAGAAAAAATATCCAAGGAGCAGTGCTTAGTGGAAAGGTCACGGTTATAAGAATTTTTCTCACGACCAAAACAACTCCTCTCCCGAAGCCTCATAATGAGACAGTTCGCTGTTTGTCAAATCCTTGTGCATAAAGTTGAATAAAAGTTAAAAACCAAAAAGGTTGGGAGAATTTGACCTGCCGCTGACAACTATAGGCAGCTAGCCTCCTCAGACCTTTGACAGCCGAAATGAAACGGTTGCATGATCCAACCTTGTTGATCATGTGTTTTGTATTATTAGGTTAAGTTCAATGCTGAGGAAGGCATAGAGAACAACCCTGTTTCATACTGCCAGAAAATCAGCTTAGATGAATACAAGCAGCAAAAGTTAAGCCATTCCGAGAATGCCATCTCTTCACTTCTGGAATCAATAATCAACAACAAGACCATGCCAGTTAAGGTCAAGAGGAAGAAATTGAAAAAGGTCAGTAGATATTCATAGTTACAGGTCTCCCTCCAAAAGACCACATTTTGGGGCCGGGATTTCCATTGTCTTTTGCAGCATAGTCTCTTAAATTAGAATAATAAAATAAAAGATATTTGTTAATTTTGAACTATAGAAAAGTGTTCTTTAATTTGGTGTGATCTTTATTTGGAGGGTCTTTTTTTTTCATTAGCAAGAGATCTGTATATTACATCCAGGAGGAAAAACACTATATAGCAACATTAGAATTTCAGTTTAGCTCAGTTGGCTGAGCTGGTGGTAGGCCACTGTGTGCATGTGCTAACCCTTGAAGATTCTTTCAGTCCTTTGGTCCCTTGTTTAATTCTCTCCCTGCCCTCCAGTGTTTCAGTTGGATGGCTGAAATGTACACATCAACTTTCTAATTAGGTCCCACATGATTAAACAAGAAATAAGATGATTTACTTTTACAAAGATATGTATATAATTTATCAATTTAATTATGGTATCCTGTTTTTGTTAACTATGCTTACCACACAATAATCTGAATATTTACTTTATTAATTGAATTTTGATTCTCACTTGTAAGGTAAGCTTTATAGTTTCTGTGGGAACCTTTAATTTTGAACCTTGATGATTGTTTTTATTATTTTTTATAATTTGAAAGTTTATCAAAAGTCTTTTGTATGTTTGTTTGATTATGTGAAATGAATAAATGTTACTTTACTTTATGTGACCTATGTTCATGGGGAAAAAAATCAAAAATTTATCATAACACTAAATTATTTACAGTGATTAACATCTTACGTTTATACTTGAATTTGGATCATAAAAAAGGACCACTAATATTTATTCATCGTTGGATCCAATTTTATTTATAGAATTTATTCAATAAACTATTAAAATTATTGATAGTTATAATATTGTTATATAAATTTCAGTTCCAGCAAGAATATCCAGAGATTTATGCCAAAAGGTTGCCAACGACATCGCATGAAGCAGAATTGTTCCCACAAAAGCCCAAGATCAAACAACCAATGCTGAACATGAAGAAATCCCTTACAAAGTTGAAGTCCATCAGATAAAGATAGAAAGCAGTGGTGCTCCCTCCACCTTTCTCATCTCATCTGATCTGCATGGTGATTTATTATTGTCAATTAAAAATTTTGTTTTACATGCAAAAGCTGGGACCACTTTTCTTTCCTGAGATCAGGTTTATTGTTTTATGTTTGTAGTCAACAATCTGAGATTTTTTGATGTTATGGATGATACATCATGGTTTAGAAATTTATACAGTATTTAGCTCATGATAACAGTAATACTTGTTAGTAAACCTTACACAGTACCTTAGTGTAAATCTTAAATATATAGTACCTTTTGAGAATTTTATAAGATTATGTATTTTAGATGTTTTACAAATTGTGAATTTATTTAACGTCCAGCTGTTTTCGAATCTAGTAGCTAATATATTTGTAGGTTTTTTTGTAAGCAAAGTTGTCGTCATTTTATATGCAAGATGTTTTACTTCTTTGCAGTTTATATCAAGTATTATGTATCATACAGTAATTAACTTGTAGCATATCATAGTTCCTTAATGTTTACTGCTTAATTGTGTCTGAAATTGGAATAATCGTACCTTTTAGTATTTATGTAAATAATTTGTATAAAGTTTCTGTTTATTGTAAATAACCCTTGCAGCTATTCTGTCCAGCCAAAAATTGTATGTGTATTAACATTTTTTAGTTTCATATTTTAACAACTATAACTCAAGGCTGAAGCATGGTATACTGTACAACTCCAGGAACTTATTATATAGAAGCTATTTATTGAAATTTAATCTGTACAAGTTCACAGGGTAGGTACCAAAGTAAGTCTTTCTCCACACCATCACATTTTATGTGAGACAAAAAATGTGATGTTTGCATTTAATACGACGGCATGCTCATATATGGGCACATCACAAGTTTGTTGCATACAATTTGATAGTGTGGACTGAATGTTGCTGATAATTTTGTTCTAATTAATTTTGTAAGTGTTCATTCCGCATTTAAGCGGTTGGAAATGCCCAACCATGCTTAATTTGAACCTATGATAATGTTGCAGCTTTTTAATACTCATTCTCTGATCCATTTCTGATCTGGTTCATAATGTCTAGCCTTACAATTATGATAATTTATTGTACAGTCAGTTCGAAAGACAGATAGAAAAAATTTCGATAATAGATGGCTTTTTATAGTTTAGGCCAGTCTACTTTTGTATGTGTCATCGTAAATATTATTTTGAATTAAGCTATTCTAAGTTTTTATATTGTTCTATATCATTTAACAAAAATATCATTTTACAATCTTTATTATCTGAAGAGGTTCACCAATTTTGATGGGTAAAATATATTCCATTCACCATGAAACAATCTTATAATCTACTTAATAATACTGTAGATGAAATTGCAGAGTTTTAAAAAGTCAAAAGAAACATTTTAATTATTTCAATATGCAGTAATTTTCTTTTAATATTCTGATAAAGCTAATTGCTGTCTGAAACTGAGGTAGTAAAGTTATGAAAATAGGAATAAAATATATATACAAATATTTAATTTGTGTTTTTGTTGATTATTTAAAGGACATGTTTACATACTCTATAGTGCTGCATAGCTGATTATGTATTTCGGAGCCGCCCTAATTGCAACCAACCTGACGTGTTATCTCACTGAATACTCGATACGCCACAGGAATAAAAAAAATTCTACGTGTAGTGATTCCTATCTGGACGTAACTCTACTGAGAATTTTGTGTCTGGTTGGAGAAAACAACAGCATTGAACTGCTGCCCACAAAAACATCCATTAGTTCAAAGTTAGTCAGCAGACAGAGGGCGACAAACCAGACCTTAATCAATCAACATGAAGGGTTGTTTGGTTTGCACACAATTTCCCAATGCTGTACTGTACTTGTTTGGTATATTCTCGCCACTTTGTTCTTCCATTGTTTTAAGGTTTTGACACAGAATATGAAAACTTCCTACTATTCGATGTCCTTGAATTACTCTGTTTTAAATCAGAAGTGTGATCAAGTGTTCCTTTCAGTCTACACGGCTGTGAATCGTCCACAACGACTGTCGAAGATTTAGCCTTTGCTTGAGTTATGCTTGAGACAGACTTGGAAGAGTTCAGCCGGCCTGACAGACGTGATGCGTTAGGTGGCGGAAGGTAACCAATGGAATATTTCTTAAATATTTCAGGTGGAAGTAAGGATTCCGAATATGGTGATTTTCTGCCTTCTTTTTTTCTAAATTTAGATCTGTTTATAGACTCTTTTCTGAAAGAAGAAATATGTACTATTATGTAAGCCTACTATAATAAATAAAAAAAAATCATACACACACACGCGCGCACA